CCACTCCTCAGAAGGAAGGTTGGGCAATCTACTTCCATAGTGATACTGCCTCGGAAACCCAAGGAGGGGTCACTATGAGTCGGGTCTGACTCGACAGCAAATAACAACAATACACCAGCAATGAGAAATCTGAAAGGGAAATAATTACATTTACAATAGTATCTAAAAGACTAAAAGACCTAGGAATAAATCTAATCAGAGACATGAAGGATTTATACAATGAAAACTATGAAACACTGATGAAAAGAGATTAAAGAAGACTTAAATAACTGGAAAGATGTTCTATGTTCATAGATTGGAAGACTTAATATTGTTTATAGAGTCATTGTAATCCCAATCAAAATTCCAACAGTCTTCTTTACAGAAATAGAAAAAACAGTCCTCAATTTTATGTGGGATCAAGAGGCCTCAAATAGCTAAAACAATAATGAGAGAAAAGAACAAAGTAGGAGAACTCAAATTTCCTGATTTTAAAACATACTATGCAGCTGTAGTAATTAAAGCAGCCTGATACTAGTATAACAATAGACACAGAGACCAATGGAATTTAATCAAGAGTACAGAAATAAACCCACACAGCTAGGATCAACAGATTTTTGACAAGGGTACTAAGTCCATTCCGTGAAGAGTCATTTTAATAAATGGTGCTGGGAAATTTGGATTTCCATATGTTGAAAAATGAAATAGAATCCATGCATCACACCATACACAAAAACAAATTCAACATAGATTAAGGACCTAAATGTGCAAACTAAAATCACAAAATTCTTAGAAGAAAAAGTAGGGGCAATGTTATCAAGCATAGTTCTTAACAATGGATTATCAAATGTAAATAACAAAAGCACAAACAGCAAAAGGCAAGATAAAAAACAGAACCTCATAAAAATTTTAAAAATTTATTCATCAAAAGACGTTACCAAAAAAGTGAAAAGACAAGCTACCAACTGGTAGAATATATTCAGAAACCACATATCCAACAAGGATTTAATGACCAAAATATATATAAAACTTTAAGAACTTAACAAAAAATACATTACCCAATCATAAAATGAGCAAAGGACACAAATAGACATTCCACCAAAGAGAATATTCAAACGGCCACCAAACACATGAAAAAATGTTCAGTCACTAGACATCAGAGATATGCAAATAAATGCTATAAAGAGATACCATTTCACTCCCACTAGGGTTGTTTTATTGATGATGCAAAGGCATTTGACTGCGTGGATCCTACCAAGTTATGGAAAAGACTGCAAAGAATGGGAATTCCAGAACACTTAACTGTGCTCATGAGGAATCTGTATACAGACTAAGAGGCAGTCATTTGAACAGAACAAAAGGATACTGTGTGGTTTATAATCAGGAAAGGTATGCATCAGGGTTGAGTCCTTTCACCATACTTATTAAATCTCTATGCTGAGCAAATAATCCGAGAAGCAGGATTATATAATAAGAACAGGCATCAGGATCAATGGAAGACTAATTAACAACCTACGGTATGCAGAAGACACAACTTTCCTTGCTGGAAGTGAAGAAGACTTGAAGCACTTATTGATGAATATCAGAGACTACAGCCTTCAGTATGGATTACACCTCACTATAAATAAAACAAAAATCCTCACAATAAGCAACATCTTCATATACGGAGAAAAAATTGAAGTTGTTAAGGATTTCATTTTACTTGCATTCACAATCAACATCTATGGAAGCAGCAGTCAAGAAATCAAATAGCATAGTGTATTGGGCAAATTTGCTTCAAAAAAAAAAAAAATCTTTAAAGTATTTAAGAGCAAAGATGTCACTTTGAAGATTAAAGTGCACCTGACCCAAGCCATGGTATTTTCAATAGTCTCATGCATGTGAGAGCTTTACAATGAATAAGAAAGACTGCAAAAGAATTGATGCTTTTGAATTGTGGTGTTGGCAAAGAACATTGAAGGTATATTCCATGGACTGCTAGAAGAATGAATAAATCTGTCTTGGAGGAGGTACAGCCAGAATGTTCTTTAGAAGTGAGAATGGCCAAACTTCATTTCTCATATTTTGGTCATGTTGTCAGAAAGGACTAATCCCTGGAGGAGGACATCATTTTGGGTAAAGTAGAAGGTCAACGAAAATGGGAAAGACCCTCAACAAGACTGACACAGTGGTTGCAACAATGGGCTCAAGCATAGCAACAATTGTGAGACTAGCACGGGACCAGGCAGTGTTTTGTTCTGTTGTACACAGGTTTCTATGTCAGAACTAGCTCAACAGCATTTAACAACAACAACAACAGGGTGGCTAAGATTTTTTAAATGAATTGATTAATAAATAACAAATGTTGGTGTGGATGTAGGAAAACTGGAACACTTAGCCATTGCTGGTAGGAATGCAAAATGGTATAGCCATTATGGAAAACACTGTGGTAGCTCCACAAAAACTAAATATAGAACTATCATAAGACCAAGCAATGCCCAGAAAACTTGAAAACAGAGACTCAAACAGAGATTTGTACACCAGTGTTCATTGCAATGCTATTTACAATAGCCAAAAAGTGGAACCAACCTAAATGTCTATCAACAGATGAATAGGTGAACAAAATGTGATACATACATGCAATGGAACACTAGTCAGTTAGTAGGAAAAATGAAGTCTTGATATATGCTACAGAATGGGTGGAGCTGGAAGACATTATACTGCATGAAATGATCATAAAAGGACAAATATTGTATGATTTCACTTATATAAAAAGACAAGAAAAGGCAAATGTATAGAGACCAAAGTTTATTAGTGGTTACCAAGAGTGAGAGGGAGTGGGGTTTAACTATGATTAATAGGGAAAAATCTCATTGATTATGGTAGGGTTGCACATACAATTATTGTAATTGCTGTCAATAAATTGTACACCTGTAAAAAGTTCAATTGGCAAAAACTGTGTGATAGATATACCTACAACAATGTTGAAAAAGGAGAGAGAGAGAGACAGACAGAGAGCAGCTGCTGAGCCTGCTTACATACAACCAAAAACTTCATGGAATTTGGATTCTTGGTTTGGAGGTTTAAGGTCATGTTCTCATAAGACATGCAGTTAATTGACCTAGTAATATGTTTATTGCTTCTGTTCTACTTCCTAGTTCAATGCATAATGCTTGAGGTCTTAAAAGCTTGCAAGCAGACACCCAAGGTACAACAATTGGTCTCTATTCACTTGTAACAACAGAGGAAGTAGGAAAGTCAGGAATAGGGGAGGATATGTAATATGTGGCTAATTGCCTCCATGAACAACTGCCTCCTTTGTCATGAGACCAGAAGAACTGGATGGTACCCAGCTATGATTACTGAACATTTTGATGAAAGATTCTTTAGAAGAATCCTGATCAAAAGGGAGAATATACAGAACAGAATTTCAAATTCCCTTAGACTCCAGACTTCATGGGCAGTTCTACTCTGTCCTATAGGGCCACTATGAGTTGGAAGTGACTCTATGGCACTGGGTTTATGTTGGGGTCAAGACATTCATCTTTGATACCAAAGTCTCCAGAAAGGAAAGTAAGGATATTTTTAATTAGAAATAAGAATTTAATATACTAACAAATCATTATGTAGGGCATAATGAACTATTGGTTTAATTTTACAGCACTGTCCTTCCTCTTCGGGCAATGGAACCCGGCCTGGCCAGTCAGAGTGCCCATTCCTCTGCCTGTAGGTATCAATTCAGAGATGAGAATTTAACCAAAAAAGACCAGCATCCTCCCTGGAAATTTGCTACCAGAGTTATAAGCAAAAATGGTCTCTTACCCACCTCCCATCTGGGAATGTGAATCTGAGGTTGCCAAGAGCCATATTGTCCATAAAATGGAGTCTGAATGAAGAATGAAACAGAGAAGAGCCCAGCCAAGAGATGGTTAAAAAAAAGAAAAAAGAAAAAAAAAAAAAAAAAAGACAGAGCTCTGATGACATAATTCAAGGTCTGAGATCCAGCCAAGATTGAAACAGCTGTCTGTACACCAAACCAAAAAAACCAAACTCATTGCCATCCAGTCCAACTCATAGAGACCCCCCATTGGGTTTCCAAGGTAGAAATCTTAACAGAAGTAGATTGTCCCATCTTCCTTCCGTGGAGTGCCTGCTGGGTTTGAACCACCAACCTTCGGGTTAGCAGTCAAATGCCTTAAGCCCTGAGCCACCAAGACTCCTCAATTACATGAGAAAATAAATTTACATTTTTGCTTAAGCTCAAGACTGACTTTGGTTGAGTCCAGCGCTTTGAACCAGTTCATTCTTGTTTGACCCCCTGCTGAAAATTTACATTTCCCACATAAGAATCAACTCAGGATCTTGTTAAACTATAGATCCTGATTCAGTATATGTAAGGTGGAAATGCAAATTCTCAGCAGGGGGTCAAACCAGAATGAACCAGTTCAAAGCCCTAGTTCACTTACTTTGAGCCAAAAAGATCTTGACTCATGAGGAATACAAATAGTATTGTATTTCAGGTGATTAACCAGCAAAATCCTAAAACAAATTCTGAGGAAAGGGATGGTTTCATTTTTATGTGAGAAGGCCACCCAGTGTTCTCTAACAAGAAGGAAACCTAGAAAACTGTTGCATTTCTCACCTTGACTGCTGTAGACTGGGGTATGACTTTTAGTGGTTCCTGTGCATTCACACCTCGATCATAGGGCCATATAGTCAACAGTCCATCACTACAGCCACTGGAAAGCACTTTGCCATTAGGTGACCACTTCAGAGCACACACAGCTTGCTTGTGGTGAAGTGTTCCAACATGATGCTAGGCTACCCAAACATTGTGGTGATAAACAAGTCTCAATCTCAAGCCACTGTACAGGAGGTAAAGGGCAAGTTTACATGACAGAATACTTTAGCCCTAAATACATAATCATTTGGGGACATGGGGGGTGGTGCGGAGGACATAATTCAAAGCAAACTAGTGAAAGATCCCTTCTGGAGGATTCAAAACCCACGTGGAAATCCCTTATAAGGATGACAAATTCTGTCTGGGTGGTTCTTTCCTCAAGTTAAATAGATTTGTCTAACACATTTTCAAATCTGAGATCATGGGGATATCCATGGATAGATATCTCTAATAACTTTAATATGACTTAGGCAGCCATGAAAGAGTTACATTTAGATTACCAGACTTTCCCAAGTTGTGACTTGTGTATTAGACCCAGGAAATATTCTGGAACTCAGAATAGTTAATATTAACTCCATTTAATGGTTTTAGTATATACTTATAGTAAAATGTTAAATATGAAAATTTATTATTTGCTTTTTCTAACAAATTCATTCCTATTAATCTATAGATTCACTATTGTTGTTGTTGTTATGTGCCGTCGAGTCGGCCCCGACTCATAGCGACCCCTCCTTGGGTTTCCGAGGCAGTTATCA